GTGGAGGTGATCCTTGGTTAGGGTTGAATCAGAAGAAAAAAATATTACAGGCTCAAAAGGGGACAACAATGGATATATATATATATATATATATATATATATATATATATATATATTGAAAGGATAAATGAAACAAAGCCGTTCATCATCTCATACATTGAAGTCTTCTTAAAAGAGGTATCCCCAGGGGGACGAGTTTTCAGGATTAACCTTATTTACATGAAAACAATGTAATTAATGCACGATAAAATTATTTCAATGATTTCATTTATTTCTTCTTCTTCTATTTGCCCCCAATATGCCCCAATTATTCAAATTCTCTTGCAACAACTTGATCCGCAACACTCCATCTTATCTTTCTTGTAGGAAAGGTCCTCATTATGCCCCTAGGATTTATTGAGGTTGGGAAACAAATGTTGGTTCTGCGTCTAGGAAGGGAAATGTGTGACTTTAAAGTCGTTATTCTGAAAAAGGTAATGTTATTGAAAGGTTATTTCTGTCTGGGAAGGGGTATGAAAGGTCTAATCTTGCCCCTTGTCAAAGATCTATAAATAATATAGTAAAAGAACCTTTAATCCATTCGATATTCAAAGAATTACAAGATTAAAACTTGATTTATTGCTCATAACCTTTGAAAACAACATAAGCTCAATTAACAAAATATCTACTAAGGAAAAAACAAAAACACGTTCAAACAGGACATGGCCAGTGCAACATTGTCCCTAGGTCAAACAAAATCTGGGCCCTGCTTCTCCGTGCCCCACGGATCTCGATAATGCCTCAAACTTCAGAGGGGCTAATATTACGTTCATAATTCTGAATCCTTTTTGGGTACGGATGGGGTCACCTCATCTTACCCTCAAAACTTTTATCACAAGACTCTCCGCAAGCTATTCCTCGGATCCGTGATTAATGCATGTTGAGATACAATGTATACCATGTGTATATGTTAAAGCAAAAATGTAAAGATGTGTATGCAAATGCAAAATGGGTGTGCAAAATGTGAGATGCAAATGCAACCCGATATTGATTCCAAAATAACTTAGTTTATACAAAAAGTACTCAACAACACGCAACGTCTAAGCACTTAGGAAAAAAGAGTACACCAACATGGAAACTAAACGTAGAATCTTACCCTATTCGCTAATCTCTCGAGCTCTATCATCAATTACATGATGTGTTGTTTTTCCTCTGATTTTAGGATCACTAAAAACCCTTAAGGTTGTCGCTTCTTCAGATAATTCATAGACTTGATGAGCAACACCATTGGCCTGATTCAATGCTCTCTCCATTGCTTCATGCTGGCGCTGAATAGTGTCCTGAGCATGCCATAGCACAGTTCTAAGTTTTGGATTAGTCAATTGTTGGTTCTTATCTGACTGCTGAATTCATTGATGGCATATCTGTAATATAATTTCTAGCTCAGCAATCTTGGCTTTTAAGGCCTCATTTTCCTGCCTGGCTATATATCATGCGGATGAGTGGATCAACACTGCTCCTTCTAGCTTCATTATCCTCTTCTTTAACATCTCATTTTATTTTTGAAGACGGAACCCATTATTGTTGTAAGGGTTCTGAAAAATCTCATCCAAACTAAGCAGATGTGCTTCGAGCTACTCAATCTATGCTCGCCTCTGCGCCAATTCTTGGTTAGCCTCATCTCTTTGCTTTCTCAGTCTCTGAGCGTGCTACAGGGGCAAAACTGATTCTTCGGTAGTGACAAGACTATCTCTGAACCGCGTATGCCCGTACTTAGACCATGTATGAACACTGATTGCATTCTCATCCCATCGGAAGACATTGATGCCTTAAGCTCTTTTTATAATAACTAGGTAATCTGGGAGTCAATACCGTTTATGAAATGTATGATATGACAATGATACATGCAAAAATGCAATAAGAGCATACAAAAAGAAAATCAATGTTGGTAGAAACAAGACAACAAGAATCAAGTTAGTTGAAATGATTAGTCAAAAAAATATAATCTTAAATATGACTTAAAGTTGAGACTAAAAAAATAAAGCATACAAAGGAAATTAATGGTCCTAACCGCATACGTTCTAGTTCTCCTAGGTTATCCATATGGCTCTAGCGGGGTAGGCTTACTAAATTCTCTATATGAGGCTGGGTTTTAGCAAATGGTTCCCTATATATTTTTACAACCTGCTAAGGTTGCCCCCGATTCTGGCCCATTACAGACTTGCGAATTGAGTTCAGCTCAGGGGATCACACCACTAAAAGCATACCTCGGAACTGATATCCAGATAGACAACTTAGGGTGCTTTCTAGAGATACTTTATCAGACCCACACAAGGAAGCCCAATGCTCCTCGTGAGGTGTGACGTTTCTTTCAACTTAGATAAACCTAGTTTGAGCTCAGGTTTAGAGCTATGATATGCAACAATCCTAAATATTCACAAAAAAGTAAGCATTAACCAGAGAGAAATTTATTTTTTTAAATAACATAATGATCAGTAAATTAAATAAGATCGAACTCGTAATTTCTAAAATAGTAAATACAGGGTAACCATCTCGTGGCTCAACTCTCAATTTGTTTTAAAAACAAAAGTCCCCAGCGGAGTCGCCAAGCTGTCGACACCGTTTTTCGCCCGGGCAGGGAAAGACCGATACCGACTCGGGGGTTTTCTCTTTGAAAATCATTTCGAAATGTGAGGAGTCGCCACCAATCATTTAAGGTGAGATTGGAACTCCGTAAAAATCGGGTGATTTTAATAAAACATTTTATTTTAATAAAATACTGAGTTTTAGGGTCTGCAAAAATCCAAAAATCAGGTTCGAGAGTCAGTTACGCGTGGGGAATGATTAGCACCCCCACAAGCGCCCAAAAATTGGTACCTAGTTGATTACCCTATATTTAAAATCATAAATTTTGAGTTCAATCTTTATTTAATTTAAAAGTCATTAAGGATGCAAAGTTGAAAAAGGCTATTCGTTTATTAAGGCCGATAGCATTCACTCCCGAGCATAAATGCGGGAGATCAGCTATTGTGTCTAATAACCGAACATTGCCTCGTTTTTTAGAAAACATGATGCAGTTTTGAAAATGATGTCGACTTATTTAGAGAATTACCAGTAGTCACCCCCTGAGCACGATCGCGGAGGATATACTGTTAACTCCTTAATAAGTGAACATTGCCTTAAGTTTTAAAAACAATCCAATCAAGCAAAATTTTATTTAATCCTAATTATACTAAAAATAAATTAAGGCTTTTTCTAACTTACGGTGACAAATTATGAAAATTAAAGAACCTAGGGGCTTAAATCTAAAGGTGTAGACTCTAATATTAATCCTGTTAATTTTAATTAATTATTGAACCGAATAACCGAGATGGTCCCTCGAGCGCTTACGCGAGGGCCAACTCGAATTATCCTCTAAATTTAAAGACTAGTTTGAAATCTAAGCTAAAATGAAGGCTTTAATATTAATCTTAATTAATTATGTCAAAAAATAAAATTATAATCAAAATTCGGGGACTAAAGAGTCAAGATCTAAAAATATGGATTTTTGAAGGATCTAAAAAGCTTAAGGGCCTAAATCGATAATTTCTAAAGTTAAAGATTAAATTAAAACATATTTTTTTATCTAAATTATTAAACTTAGAATTTTTAGTAAATATTAATTATTAATAAATTTTAAAATTCGAGCAATCGATTCGAATAATCGAGTATTTTATGCGAAAACTCGACTCGGATTGCTCCTTAATTAAAACTAAAGTGAAATTTTAATTTCTAAGCTTGATTCAAATATTAATCTAATTTAAAATTCAATCTAAGAAACTAAACAATGAAGGAAAACCTTTAATAATAAATTTAATTAAAAACAATTAAAACAACCAATAATTAAAAACAATAAACATCAACATAAAATAAAAATAAGTACAAGGACCTAATTACATAAAATCTAATTATATTGACTAAAATATAGGAAAATAAGAGTTAGTAGTTAATATGAAATAAATTAAAAGTTAGTTGTTAGAAATAAATAACATAGCAGAATAGTGACCAAATTAAAAGTTAGTAAAATCAGCATGCATATTCGAAATAAATAGGAAATAAGTTACCAAAATGTAAGAAAACGCCAAAATGAAATACTTACACATATCGTGACCAAAGTCAAACAAAATCAAAAATGATATAACATGTAAACTGATGACTATAATATAAATGTGAAAAGCTAAAGGCTCAAAACAAAATAATGTAAACTTCATTTCAATGCCCCAATCGTGAGAATACAAAAGAAACAAGGACCTATATGGATATTTTACCTTAAAATCGATGACTAGAATAGAAATAAGTAGCTTAATAAGTAATTAACCTTAAACTTAATATATAACCTAAAACCTAAACTGAACTAAGTTAACATCGCGTATATTCTTCTCTTCTTCCCCATTCTCTCCACACGGCGCCATGGAAACTCCTTTAAAAATCTCGCAGCGACGACCCTCACGAGACCAACACCGACTTGCTCCGACCACCACATGGACGACCCTTCTCTTCCGTTGCTCGACACATCGTGAGACCTCCCTAATCGAAGCCATCTTCAAATCACCTCTTACTCTCGGTCGAGAGGTCCATACCCGAGGCGAACCACCGTGAATGGTGGCGCCACCACCTAAACTAGCCTAGCCTGACCTTCAATTTATTTCCCGACAACACCCCTTTGCCTCCATAGGACATATAGATGGCAAGCTAAGGTAATATCTGAATCCCTAATTTTTGTTATATTCAAATAATAATATACATGCCAAGAATGAAAGCTATACTAAACTGAGTTTTTTAATTACAATCTAAGAATTAAACAAATAATCTTAAAAATTGAATACAAACTGAAATACCTTAGGATTCGGCTCTGTTTTGATTGCTAGTGTTTCCTATTTGAAAGGAACTTTTATGTATTTTATTGATAAAAAATCCTCCCATTTGTTACATTGATTTCGGGTTTTATACCCTTACAGAGAAACAAAAACCAAAGTGGAGTAATGGCACGGTATGGGGAAATTGCTCGGCATGGGAGAGGCGTGGGCAATAACAGGGTATGGGAACGAGTATGGAAAGTGGAGCATTTCACATGGGGTGCATGTGGGAGGCAACTGGTGAAGCTTTCACGTGGGCATCATAGGCTGTGGAATAAAAAATGGTGCTTACAGGTGCCCCTCTTTGCTCATTGTTGTGAAACGGGCATCATATTGCAGTGAGGACATTGGGCATATCAACGGGCTTATTCAATCTTAGTGTCCATCCTCCCCAACGTTTATATAAAGTATTACGTATGGGAAATACTGAAAACGTCCTTTCCAGTAGTATAGTTGTCGTGTTTTTTTTAGCTTTTGTTGTTTTCGAAACTATGTGGTATGGTTCAACAACTACTCCCATCGAATTATTTGGTCCTACTCATTATCAATGGGATCAAGGATACTTCCAACAAGAAATATATCAAAGGGTTAGTGCTGGGTTAGCCGAAAATCAAAGTTTATCAGAAGCTTGGTCTAAAATTCCTGAAAAATTAGCTTTTTATAATTACATTGGCAATATTCCGGTAAAAGGAGGATTATTCAAAGCGGGTTCAATGGACAACGGGGATGGAGTAGCTGTTGGGTGGTTAGGACACCCTATCTTCAGAGATAAAGAAGGGTAAAAAAAACAAATTTGTAATTTGATTTTTTTTTATTTTGTAAAGGGTATTATATAAACCCATAAACATTTGTAAAAGCGACACCCCCTCCCCATTCAAAGAAAGAAAAGAGTTTGCAAGGGGTTCTTACCTCCCCATTTTCTCTCTCTCGAGAACCTTTGTAAGGGATATTTTCCCTCATTTTTCAGAAGCAATGCAACGAAACTTTCAAAGAAATGATTTTTATTTTCTTTTTTAAGGCAGAAATAGAATAGAGCTCTTTTTTTAGAAAACCATACGAAACATTGGTCATCAGAAAAATATCAACCATTCATAAAAACAATCATTCGAAAGGAGAAACAAAGTGAAAGAAAAAGGGGGTTTTACCTCTCGGTTGAAGCATCAATCGGCAACGGGAACCACCATTGATGAATCTGAATGGTGAGATGAGGCCCAGCGGTGAGGGGGACAATATATCCCAAGATCGGCTTAATTTGACCGTGGACGGTGGATATTGAAGCGTCAAATAACTGAAGGGTCTCAAACCTTTACACGACATTGGAGGTCATTTTTCGCAAAACGGAGACCAGATTCAGACACCTAGCATCGAGGAGAGTTAGCCTGGAAGTTTTGGGTCTGAACGGCCACCGAAGACGGTGGTAGTGTGACGGTCGATGGTAACCAACACGGCCGTCGCCGACGGTGCTCATCGACGGAATCTGAAAACTTAGAGAGAGGGGGAGCATTTTAAAGGATATAGAGAGAAGAGAAATGAAAAAAATAAGGAAAAAGGGAAATATGGTGAAGTTTTATAGCCAGACCAAAACGATGCCGTTTTGAGCTCTATGGCGCCATGCGTTTTGGACTCTAACGGTCTAATCACACCTGTGGTCATCACATATTTCTATTCCTTGCATTTTTTGTCACCATTATTGCGTTATATTTTAATTTATTTCGAATGTTTGTCCTCATTTTGTTATTTTCTATTTTTATGATTAATGTTGACTTTTTGGCTTTTCTTTTTCAGGTCCCTATACTTTAAGCACGAATTCGTAGATTGGTCACTGATCTTTGGGTTGTTTCTTTCTTTTTTATTTTGAAGCACTAACTCCGTTATTTTCCCTTCTTGTCTAAGGTCATTTTTGGTTTATTTATTTCCTAGTGCTTCTAGTTTAGGCGTGAATTTCCATTTTAGTCACATGCCATGATACTTTTAGTTGTTTAGAAGGCGTCGTCTTAATTGTGCAATTTTACCTTTTGTCGGAACTATCTTTAAGCTTTTTGACAATTGGAATGGGATCAAACCAACTTAATTTTAAAAACTTGTGGTTTAAGAAAATAAATTTGCAGTCGCCATCAACCTTTGGGTTAGTTAGGTTGAATAACTAAAATTTTACCTTTTAAAATAATTTAGAAAAAAATAAAATTAAAAAACATGGTTCGAGAGCCGATTACACGTGGAGAAGGGTAAGCATCCCACAACGCCTAGAATTGGTACCCAATTGATTATACGTCGTTTTTTTTTGTTTGAGAATTGTGAATTTAAATAGTATTTAAATTATGACTTTTTATGCATGAATAGTCTTCAGAAACGCGCTTCCCTTATATCTGGGAGACTTTTTCATATGCTACCCATACAAAAAAAAAATAGCAATTTAACTTTTAATTAAGGCGGCCTAAGATTGCATTTAACAATGATTAATATTAAAAACTAGAACGACCTAATGAATGTATGGACAATCCTTAGGAAATCACTTCCCTTGTATTGGGAGACTTTTCCACGAATTTCCTATACAAGGTGATATTGCCTTGATTACTCTAATAAATAAAGCATATTAAATGAATTACATGGAAAAGTTTTAAAAGTCGTGTATATATACAACATATGCTTAAATAATAAATATACATAAAGATATATACATAACCCAAGCAAACAATTAATACATAAATGACAACCACTACTCAACCTGTAAAATATACGAATCTAATTAAAAAAGATCACACTAAGCAAATATACATTCGATGGGCTAAAGTGCAGGAATAGTATATTGATGAAAACTGGAAACGTAATAGAACCCTAAACAACATGGTTGTCCCTTGTTCCCATATGTAATGGGGTAAGGGGGAGGTAAGATAGTAGGCTGCCCCCAACACCAGGTTGAGAGCAGAATCTGTAGAAGACCTCCGAATTATGAAATGCCCTCCGTGAGACTCGATCCCACGACCTCAAGGTTAAGAACCTTGTGCTCTACCAACTGAGCTGGATAGTTATCTCAGAACCCTAACAACATGTTGAACTAAAATGAATATTATTAAAATAATGTGTTAAAAATAAAAATAACACACACAAGGCAAATAAACATAAAAGTGTTAAAATAAAATCATTGGAAAATTAAAAACTCAAAACAAGATAAACAAAACTTCAATCAAGGTCTAAAATAGAAATATTACAAATAGGGGATGGCTTATCATGTAAATAACCCAAATGCCACAAAACCATGGCCCTAACTCTAAATCCACAGCAAAACCACGGGCTCCACCTTTTTTTTTTTTTTTGTATGATACTAGTTATTAGGTTTGTGAAAGATGTGAAAATCATGTTGAGCTACCTTTAATTTACCCGTGAATTTATATTTAAGTGCTTGATTGTTTTATTTCTTTATATAATGTTAAAACTAGATGTATCGTTTCTTTCATTCTTCACTTTTTAATCATTTTCATTCGTATTTGAATTGTTTATTACTCTAATAATTATCATGCGTGCTCAATTTATTTTTTAATTCATTATATCTTAGTACTGTTAGGATTAATTTTCATGAATTTAGCCCCCATTAATTTGCTTAGACTTTAGGTTTAGCCCTTTAAATTTAGACTTCTTTAGATCTAGTCCCTAAACTCAAGTTTCTTTAGATTTAGCCCTTGAACTTTTAATTGATCATAATTAATTAAGTTATTAATTAGAGCCTTAGAGTTGATCCTTTAGGTTAGATTTAGTCCTGTAATTTAGGGAGTAATCTGAGTTGGCCCTCGCCCAAATGCCCAAGGGACCATCTCGATTACTCAATTCAATAATTGGTTAAAATCAGCTAGGATTAATATTAGAAACTAAATTTTTAGGTTTAGTCCTTAGGTTCTTTAATTTTCATAAATTGACACCTTAGGTTAAGAAGTCCTTTGTCAGGATTATTGAAGAGGGTCAATTGACAACCGAAAGAATGCAAAGGGGGTAATCGGCAATAATTTTGATAAGGGAGTAAGGAGAACAAAAGATAGAAAGATAAGGCACAAAGATTTAAAGTGGTTCAACTTACCAACCAAGTCTACATCCACTACCCTAGCTCTTCACTAAGGATTTTCTAACAAATTCTTTAATTTGTTCTTTCTTTTTCAATGACAAAGAGATAACCTTTACAACTCCTTATCTTTTCAATGGCTAAGATAGAACCAATACCCTTTACAAAGGAAAAAAAAGACTGTAAACAAATAAACCTCTAGAAAGGAAGGTGTTTACAAATTAAAAGCTCACAAAAACACAAATATTTACAAGAGAATTGGAATAAAGAGTGAAAAGCTCTTCTCTTGTGTTTGATTGCTTGGATATGTGTTCTAACCCTTCTTCAAGTGTCTTGAACTTGTATTTATGTGTTGGAATGTTTTTGTGGCCGTTTCTAGCTGTTGGAGGTGGTTTGGAGCCGTTGGGGATCAATTTTCGTGAAAAATAAAGTTGCCCAGACCAAGGGGTATCGGTACTCCTAAAGGGAGTACTAGTACTACCTTTGTTATATTTAAATTCAACTAGTCGTTACTAGCCGTCAGGGTCTGATGGTATCGATACTATGGAAATGGTATCGTTACTACTATACATAGTAGTATCGGTACCCCTTTGGGTATCGGTACCATTTTTTCATTATGAAATTTGAGCAAAGCTGGTAGTATCGGTACTACCTAGTGAGTATCGATACTTCCCTTACCTTTGGTATCGGTACCATATGACCAATATCAGTACTTGTTCAATTGGTATCGATACTGTAAGAACAATATCGGTACTACTTGTACAGAAATTGTTTTGTGCTCAATTCCAAGCTTTTAAGGACTTTGAATTATTTTTGAAAACTTTGAAAAACTTTGAATAAATTCAATTCAAGTGCAAAAACATTTTGCCCTAATTGTTATATCAAAATATAGTTCAACAATATTCCCCCTTTTGATATAACAAAACATTTGAAAAATTATTTTTGACAAAACTCCCCTTACTAAAATGTTAATGAAAAAGGTACCAATTGTTGGAAAATATGTGAAAATGTTCAGCTCCCCCTTTTTCATCAAGAAATTGAATTTTTCAAACCAATACTTCTCCCCTTTTTGTTGAATCTAAAAGAATTCAACTTTAAAGTCCAAACATAACATTGGAGAGTAAGTGATAATTTTTACATTAAAAACCATTTGAAAAATCAAAGCTCCCCCTCAAAAAGTGCATTCCAAACAAAATTTAGCTTTAAAATCTTGACACTTAAACAAAATTGAATTTCAACAAAGATTAACAAAAATGTTAGAAGCTCATGAAATTCAATATATCCAAGTCTAAAATACTTTATGCAATACCAATAGTTGAAATTAAGTACATATGCATAAAGCTTTTAAAAAATGTTATGCATTTGAAGAACTTGATATCAATTGTTAGAGAGATATTTTTAATATTTTAAAACACATGCATAAACATTTAATTTTAGGTCAAAAATTTTAAAATTTGTAAAATCAAAGTATTTGAAAAGTTGATATCAATTGTTATAGAGTTATCATTTGCATTAAAAAATTTTGACCAAAATTCATTATGATGAACTAAAATTTATGAAAAATCATTAAAACTTTAAAATGTCCATCATAACACTCTTTTCAACATACATGAGATTAAAAACATCAAATCATTAAAATCAAAACTCATGCATGCTTAAATCAAAATGAGCAACCAAATAATCAAAATAAAAAAAAACATTAAGCTTAGAGGTTACCCATTCCTTTTTTAG